CTGGTTTTCCCAATGGTGGTCCTAGTGGTAGATCTTTCTTTGACTGTTTGCCTATGGGCTGTAGTTTCACTCTAAAGCCTCTAGTGTTATTAGAATATATAGATAGTTTGGTTAAGTGATTGAATATTCGGTCTGTGATGTTTTAAATCATATCTCGAATATGTCGTCCTGTAGTAAATATCTCTCCTCATGCCCTAAATGCTGATTATTCCATCTGACTGAATCACTTCCTGCTCTCTCCTTCATCCACTGGTTAAACTAAATCCAGCTACCTTCTGTCTTTCTGCTCTCTGTCCTCTGCTGGTTCTACAGACTGATGTTCTCTCCCACCACCTTCAGAGGAACCTTATTTACCTGGAGAAGCAGGTGAGGAATCTGCTTCTGACCGCCCCGTGCTTTGGGCTGGGATGACATCATGCTCTCATTAGGGTGGGGGGGCTTAAAGGGGAACTCTGATCCTACAGCAAGGTATGGCAATGGACTGGGTCCAATGACCAGCCTCAGGTCCATCCAATATTGGACCTGCTTGAAGATCTGCCCTGAATACGCTCCAGGAAAAGAGGTTGAACTTCAATGGACCCTTTAAAGTTTAGAGCAGAGGTCCTGAAGATATTTAGGACCATCCCTGCAGTGTGATCAAAGACTGGATCAGCATTCAAAGGTCCTGTAAGGTCGGTTCAGGATTGCTGGACCAGAAATGCATCAGTAGAGTGCAGGCCAGAAGATATCCAGGGCCGCAGTCTGAGACCCGCTTTCTATACATTCATGCTCAAACCCGACTGAGACTAGATTCAGACTAAGCAGACAGGACCAGGCTCTGTGCCAGGAATCACAGACGTACTGAGAGACACCACCTCATCAGGAATGTCTGGGTTTCAGTTCCAGAGTCTACCAGTGAAGTCAGGCTGCCGCCATGTTGGTTTCCTTCCAGACGTGGTCAGTTTGCTGGGATAAACATCTCTTGCCTTCCATGACATTAGACCTGTTACCATTAGCTCCCATCAGCCCACAACATTTCCTCCCAGTGTTCGCCCAGCATGTCCAAATGCAAATGCTACAGCAGCATTAAAGTGACGTTCAGATGTTTCATTCTTCTGTAGTGGACCTGGTGCCT